TTTTTTTTTTTTTTTGAGACAGAATCTCACTCTGTTGTCCTCAGTAGCATCACAGCTCACAGTAACCTCAAACTCTTGGGCTGAAGAGTCTACAGCCTCAGCCTCAGCCTCCCCCAAGTAGCTGGGACTACAGCTGCCTACCACAACGCCCAGCTATTTTTAGAGATGAGGTCTCGCTCTTGTTCAGGCTGGTCTTGAACTCTTGAGCTCAAAGGATTCACCCACCTTGGCTTCCCAGTGCTAGAATTAACAGGTGTGAGCTACTAGGCCCAGCCTGAAAATGATTTTTCAAAATGTGATGGTACCCCACTGTGTGAGGTGACACTGGGGATGTCTATTATCCTGGACCAGAGAATATGAGTCCAATTTGAAAAGGAGGACTGTGGAAGCTGGCAGGGTGCTTCCGATCTCTCCCAGCCTAGGACTGAGGGCGTCCCGGAAATGCAAAGAAAGTAAGATGCAGGCACAGCCTCTGACTAGAGTGAGTCTCATGGGACAATCTAATCCTTTGTATTAGCTTACTATTTACTGCATACGATCCTGAAAATACACAAACATATAGAAATGAAAACAGTCTATAGTGTGACCCACACCACAAAACTGTGTGTAGTTGATGACAACTGACCTACATTCATCTTGTTTATAATTCATACTCTTCAGTAAACGGAATTGACAGATCTCAATTATATTCCCTTCCCCAGTGATCTCATAAATTTCAGTTTTGACCAAGTAAAATACAATCACCACCACCGGTGGCTGCATTCCCACCGAGGCCACACTTCCCAGGGCTGCTCTGGCCCCAGGCTGGGTCACCCCTGCCTGACACAGGACTCTTCTCAGAGCAGCTGATACTTAAGGATTCCTCGTGGGCCTGGCTGAACCCATCTCAGAACTGCACTGCAGTCTGAGGCCTTTCTTCCTCAAGCCTCCTCCCTTCCCTCCCTTCCCTTCCCGTGGTGGGGGGTCCACCAGCAGTGTGGCCTGGAAGGCTGCTCAGATATCCCTCCCTCCCTCCCTTTTACCCTGCACAGGCATTTCCCCTAAGAAATTTCTGTTATGAACTGAATGTTTGTGTCTCTCCCCCTCCCCCACCAAACTCATGTGCTGAAGTCCTAAACCCTAATGTGATAAGTGTTTGGAGATGGGAGGTGATTGGGGTTAGATGAGGTCATGAGGGTGAGGTCCTCGTGATGGGATTAGCACCCTTATAAGCAGAGAGGCCAGAGATCTTGCCTTCTGCCATGCTCTCCCTACCACGTGAGGACAGAGCAGAACACCAGCCACCTGCAAAGCAGAAGAGGGCCCTCAGAGAACCACACCACGCTGGCACCCAGATCCTGGACTCCAGCCTCTAAAACTTTGAGAAAACAAGTATCTGTTGTTTCAGCTACCCAGGTTATAATATATTTTTTATGGAGGCCCAAGGAGATTAAGACAACTTCTAGTACATCTTGGTACCTGCTTCTTGGAGGATCCAAACTTAAATGCATCTAAATAGCTCCTCAAAGCCACTTATATAACCCAGGAATGTGCTTTATATATAAATGTTAACAGTTTTGAAAGTCCCTAAAAGCATACGGACTCTAACACTGGGGCCTGGCCTTTCATCTTAAAGTGGATTTTTTTCAAATAAAAATAAATAATCTCTAATTTTCTACTTTAATTCAGACTTTTCTTTGACTCATAACCCAAATGAAATACACCCCCCCAAAGTTTCATGTACTGTATGAATAACTTCAATAACTCCTATTCATGTCTCTTATCTAGAAAATTCCCGTTAATGAAAAAAACTGAAAAAAACTGAAATTTCTAAGACTTTATTAAAATATTAATTGGCAGAGATGTTGAAATATGAAACTCTGTATCTAGTTGTTCTGCTATACACATATAACTGCCTGTTCAGTCCTAACTGTTGTGATTACTAAGAACAAAACCAGGAGAAAATAATAATTATTATATTGTTATTATTAAGATAACAATTATATTGTTATTATTTATTAATAATATAAATTATTATTTTGTTAAAATATAATTAATATTGTGTTAAAAATAATAAATATAATAACAATTATACTGTTATTATTATTTTGAGACACAGTCTCACTCTATTGCCCCAAGTGTCAGCCTAGCTCAGAGCAACCACAAACTGTTGGGTTCAAGTGATCCTTCTGCCTCAGCCTTCCCAGAAGCTGGGATTACAAGCACTGGCCACAATGCTCAGCTCATTTTTCTATTTTTAGTAGAGACAAGGGTCTCACCTTTGCTCAGGCTGGTCTTAAACTCCTAAGCTCAAGCAATCCTCCCACCTTGGCCTCCCAGAGTGGTAGAATTATATAGGTATAAGCCACCAAGCTCAGCCAACACCAGGAGGAAATTATTGGCTGTATTTGATAAAGCTTAAGTGAAACCAAACCCATCAGGTTAGAAAAATAAACAGAGGTATAGTAGGGATCTACAAAATCCTAAAACTGCTTCTGAATTTTAGATTTACACGTCATTGAGTTTCACCTAAATGTATGAACATTCTTAGGCCATGAATGTCAAACAAGATTTTCTCCTTATTTAATTGCTCCTTCCAAAGACAGCCTTCCCCATCCCACTTCCAAGTCCATTTTCAGGCTTTCAACAAAAGCTTAACACGCCTGTGTCAATCATGTACATAACTGGAATAACCCACCCCTGACAGGTGGAGGGGAAATCTGAAACACGGCCATTTGTCACAAACAGGTCCACACCCAAAACCTTGACCATGGGTGTAAAAAGCACGTGACAGACCAGCAGTGTCCCTCATCATTCCATCATGAAAAATAGCAGACACCCCAAGGAGTGCCTTCAACAACAGATACAGGAATTTTCTACTTCCTTCTTGGAAGAGTCCCATCATTTTCATTTTCGGAAGGAAACTGGCTCCTCAAAGAATCTGGTTTTAAACAATGTCTTTTGATATATAGTATACATCATCAAAACAAAGTTGATTTTTCTTGTAGACTTACACAAATTAAGGTTGTTAAAAAATTAATCACTATAATAAAAATTACTCCACTAAATGAAAACAAATAAAAATGTAAGGTAGCAAACTAACACTACCTACTGTGTGGGATGCTATAGAGAGCTGGCCTGGGCTCGGCCCCTGTGGCTCAAGTGGCTAAGGCGCCAGCCACATACACCTAAGGTGGCGGGTTCGAATCCAGCCTGGGCCCGCCAAACAACAATGACAGCTGCAACCAAAAAATAGCCAGGTGTTGTGGCGGGCACCTGTGGTCCCAGCTACTTGGGAGGCTGAGGCAGAAGACTCCCTCGAGCCCAGGAGTTGGAGGTTGCTGTGAGCTGTGATGCGACGGCACTCTACCCAGGGGGACAGCTTGAGGCTCCATCTCAAAAAAAAAAAAAAAAAAAAAGAAGAAAGCTGGCCTGAAAAAAAATGGAGCCTAAATTACCCCTTTTTATGTTTAATTTCTTAATTTTGTGAAAAGCAGATTAATATATCCTTTTGTGACATTTTACAAAATCCTATGATTGGACTATCTTACTTTTGGCCTGTTGGTTATTTGGAGGGGACTCTGATGAATAATACCATCCACAGCTACACTTGAAACAGAATTAAGTTCTAAGTTCATGTCACTGTCAATCTGTAAACAATCGTAAAAAACCTGAGGTCAAGTTCACCTCTATAATATTAGTGGAAAAAAGATTTGCTAGCCCAGCAAAATGCAATCATGTGAACAAGATTTTTTAAAATAGTATTTGTTCTTTAAAGTGAGTTAAACTATTTAAATATTCCAATTTAGAAGTATATAAAAACTGAGAAAATTATTAAAAATTAGTATTTTTTAATAAAGCAGTAACTTTTAGGAAGTATCTTCTTCATTTCAATAGCATAAAGGAATATACTTCAATAAAACTACATTATGCAAAAGTTCTCAGATTCAGACTATTTATTATTTCAAACTGGCTGTCATTCCTGAGCCTGAATTACTGAGATTTTAATGTCGTTCTACCTGACTTTGATTTTTAGATGACATAAATGTGTCTTCAGTGCTAGAATAACCTAAGTGAATTAGAAGATCCTTAAGGGGAAGTATTGCAGGTGTCATGTCACCTGGCACAATGGTAGGCAAAATTTATTCTTCAAGAATAACCAAAATCACTTAAAATTTCCAGAGTTAGAGGGCACTCTGACCTGGTTACCTGTGAGGTTACAAAGTTAAGAGAAGCCAACTAGGTGACAATGCAGACTGTCTGAAACATACTCTGCAGTTATACATTTTGTGATCTGAAAGGCAAAGTTCTAATTTTAAGAATGTCTATTTGATGCTTTTCAACAGTGCTGAATTTATCAAAATATTTGGGAGTGCAGTGAGCGTGAAAGACTAAAAGATTTTTATCTTCGGTGGCAGTGCCAAGGATTAAGATTTTATTACAATGATGGAACAGTTGTTAGGCCAAGAGACACAGTGGCTCTAGAGATTTTGTTGGAGAAAAAGGAGAAAGAAAAAGAATGGAGAGAGACCAAAGAACCAACTTGGGTTGTAATCTATTGTTCTTTTCATACCTGGAAAAAAAATAAGTGTTTCAGTTGTGAGCCTAAAGAACTCTGCATAGCTGTGAATTTACTAGTATAACCAACAATCAAGAAACTCAATAAACGCTTATTTTAAAAAGCAACTTCTGTTCAGAATCTTTTCCAAAATGATTCTACCCCCATGAATGAAACAGTGTCACCAGGGTCTTTTCCTGCACAAATATCAAATTCAGGAAAACCCAACTTACACGTCCTTCATTCAACACCCTGTTCAGATTTTAAATTATGAGTCCAGTTTACAAATTACACAAGGAAACTTTTACCTTCAACGGAAATATCCTGAATAGCAAAGCGAAGGATGATGGTCCAGATCATACCCAGGGTCATTTTCACATTGCCGTCAACAATTTCTGTAGGTTCAGAAAACGACAAATCAATGTCAAGATAACACACTCGGTGCATAACTTTTCCCCCCGCCATGTATAAATTTTTACTTCAGAGCTACTGGAAAATATACATATGGAAAGACTAGTTTATGTTTTTATAAGCATCACAGTGTGTCTGGTTATAAATATGGTATTCATAACCAAATGTCTCCAGTTTAAATGAATTCTGAGTTAATAATAAGCACAAATCTTGCATATGCATTTCACTGAAAACCACGCAGGAATTTCCAAAGTTTTAAGACTGCAAGAGCTAAGGTTTTAAATAATCAAATGAAGAGAGCACAGTCTCATTTTTATCCTGATCCTTCTTATTGCACCGCCCAGCCGGCAGGCTGCAGGACTCGGTGGCTGTACACTAAGCAGTGACACACAGGTTGTCTCAGCTCCTGCAGACCTCCCCACATTTACAATCTCCCACAGAGGACAAAGAGGTCACTTCCTTCCTGTTAGTTCTTATTAAGGGTCACTGAGATGGATAAGTTCTTTCTCCTTCCTCTAAATGGCCTGAAGAAGACAGAGTTATATGTGAATCTATTCTTTGCAAATAACCCTCTGGATGAGCCTGGTCTCCCGTTCATGGCACTGTCTGTTCTCGTTTCTACCCACCCAGCACCTAACACAGAGCCAGACACAAGGAGGACATGGTAACAGGGGGAAGGGAAGGAGGAGGGGAGAACTCAAGACTCAGGCCGCACCTCTGCTCTGAGGTCAGTGTGGCAGGCAGGGTCTCCCCACCACACCTCTTACCTTCTGCCCCAATGGACACCAGCTTCACCCCTTTGCTGGCTATGTAATCCAAAGCTTTGTTGACATTAGCGATTTTGTGGAACCGCATTTTTCCTCGGTCAGGTTTGGGCAACCTCTCCCCTGATGGATGAAAACAGAATAGCGCAGAGAGAGAGAGTGACCCCTTTGATGCAGAGTCAAGATGCCAAAATTCAGAGTCTGTGCTTTCCTGTTAAACGGAAATGGTTACCTGACTATTTCTGATGTGTGCTTGGTTTCCCTAAACCACAGTAAAAAGGGAACATTAACCTAAAAACACCTATCAGGATCAAACGGGTCATCCGGGAACCACACTATTAAGGCCACAGGCTTTTCAGATCTGCCAGCAGAGTCCAGTTTGACCCATGATCCAATTTAAAAAAGAGTAATCACAGAAGCTGGTTAGTGTCCGTGAAGCACTCCAAGCTGCTGGCTAGCTATGAGAGGGAGTGGGATGCCTCATTCAAATCACAGAGTGGCCACCAGCGCACCTGAAGATGCTTGGATCAGGGCAGATCTGCCCCTCACCCTCCCAGGCACACATTTCCAAAGATGATCCATTCTCTGGTCCAAAGTCTGAATCAGCCAACTGAAATTCAGGGTGAATTATAACCTCACTAGGATCTTAACTGCTAAGTTCAGAGTTATGCTAGCATGTACACTGGACACAAGATGATTTCTAGACTACAATACACACTAGTTGGACCAAGAGTAGAAAGGGCATCATGGCAGGTGGTCATGTAAATGTCATTTACTTCTTCTCTTACTTTGAGGTAGGTGGTTATAAACATTATTTTAATAAGTCAATTTGAAACTGAATTCACTCCTTTTTTAAACTGAAAAATAACTCCAGGTAGACTGCTCTCTGGGAAGGTTTTCTCTGCCAATAATACCAAGTTCAGAGGGAACTTCTGATGCAATCAAGGGAACTTCTGATGCAGTCATCTTCACATAGATGCCTGCCTACTGATTATACATAAAAATACAGGCCTGGGCATAGTGACACCAACCTGAGATGACTTCCAAAAGCAGCATGAGCTTCAGGCCATTCCTAAAGTCTTCCTCGATGTTCTCGATCTGAGTGCCAGCTTTCCTCAGGTGGGAGTTGCACCAGGCGGTGAAGGTCTGCAATGAGAACCATATGACGCTCAGCACAGGCCCAGCAGTGGTCAGACCCCCTGCTCATGGCAAAACTCAACACGTTATGCTTGCTGAGGAGTCTATGAAGCTGGGGCTTCTCCAGCCTTCTAGAGAAAGCAGTATTTGATAAAAGAATTGGAAACGGGAAAGTAACAATTTTGTAAAATTTCCTCTTTAGAGACAAAAACTCATTTATTTGACATTCCAATCTGAAGCATTTCTGCCTTCAGTTAAAAAAAGGGACCAAGTTTCTGCCTATCCTATCACCTTCTGCAAACCTCGTACTTTGTAGAGAAGACAGACTAAATTAGGACGTGCTTATTCCCTGCCTACAATAAAAATGCACTTGCTTGCAGAATGAATGAATAAATAATGTTTAAAGAATGTCGGAGGCTGGGCGTGGTGGCTCACACCTGTAATCCTAGCACTCTGGGAGGCTGAGGCGGGTGGATTGCTTAAGCTCACAGGTTGGAGACCAGCCTGAGCCAGAGCAAGATCTCATCTCTAAAAATAGCC